CTAAACCAGTCCCACCTGCCTGGTCCTGGCCCATATCCCTCCAAACCTTTCCTATCCATGTACTTATCTAAGTGTCTTTTAAACAGTGTAACTGTACCCACATCCATCACTTCCTCAGGAAGTTCATTCCACATGCAAACCCCTCTCTGTGTGTAAATGAAGAATTTGCCCCTCGTGTCTTTTTTAAATCTCTCTCCTCTCATCTTATAAACGTGCCCCCTAGTCTTGAAATCTCCCCCGTGCTAGGGAAAAGACAACCACCTATCTATCCCCTTCATTATTTCATAAACTGTCACGGGCATTGAGCGAAGCAAATTTTAATGCAGCCTTGCTAGTCTGGATATCTAGGTCTATAGATGTTTATTTTGCTGATGAGGGATACTGAGCTGATGTGATAATGACATTTACTCTGAGATCATGGCTGATCTGTGGTCTAACTCCACATACCTGCCTTTCGCCCATATCTCTTAGTACATTTGCTTAAGTGAGTAGCCACATCTTGGGACTTGCTGCATATTGAGGGCGGTGGAAGAGGAAAAAGTTCAATGATATCAAAATCCAATTGGATCAAATGGAAGGGCCGGAAAGCAGCTTGTTAGATACAAGAAGCGATAGGGAAAGGGTGTCAAAATCAATAGAGAGAAACTTTACAGCAACAGAGAAAAGAAAGCGGGTGGTCGGAATGACAGTGGGAATATTGTCAAAGACTATGGGGAAACAGCAGACAGGTTGAATAATTACACACACTTCTGACGAAGGGTCACCGGACCCCAAAACGTTAACTCTGTCTTTTCTCTTTACGGATGCTGCCAGGCCTGCTTAGCTTTTCCAGCAACTTCTGTTTTTGTTACAGATTTTACAGCTTCTGCAGTTCTTTCGGTTCTTATTCGGTTGAATAATTATATTGTCGAGTGCGGGAAGGGATTCTCTCGCACGTCCAGCTTGTGTGCGCTCATCGACGGCTTCACACGGGAAACAAGCCCTTTATCCGCTCCGCATACAGGATGGGATTCTCATTGCTGTCCGACCTGTTGGCAGCAGAAAGGGAGGGAGGGAGGCTTGCTGGATGTTCATAGTGGACCAGGAGAGGAGGTGGTGGAGGCTGGTACAATTCCAACATTTAAAAGGCATCTGGATGGGTACATGAATGGGAAGGGTTGAGAGGGATGGGGGCCAAATGCTAGCAAATGGGACTAGAATAATTTAGAATACCTGGTCGAGTTGAACCGAAGAGTCTGTTTCCATGCTGCGTCACCCTATAACAGGGACTCGATAGAATTTAATAGATATAAAAGGTCGGCAGTGAGGAAATTAATGGAATTAAAGAGTGACAATTCCCTGGGAACTGATGGTTTCCACTTGAAGGTGTTAAACGAAGTAGGGGAGCACGTTGCAGGTGCCCTAACTATATCCTTTTTCAAAGTTTCCAAGATACGGGAACTCCCTCTCCGCATTGGAAAACTGCACATCATGTGACTTTTTAAGAAGGGCGAAAGAAGCAAACCAGGGAATTGCAGACCAGTTAGCTGGACATCTGTGGTGGGAAGAGCCTAATGGAT